ATATGCATATAGATATATAGCATGAGTTAATCAGGAACAGATATATACATATATTGATTTTCTAAGCGTAGCCGAAAGTATGGCGCACCCAGTGAGGATCGAACTCACTACTCAGTTGTAATTATTTCAGCGAAACAAGCATGCTAATCAATACACCTCCTCGAGGCGCCCAGATATATACATATAAATACATAGAATGGGTGAAATAGGAACAGATATATTCATATAGATATATAATGTGGGTGAAACAGAAACAGATATATGCATATAGATATATAGTATGTTTGAAATAGAAACAAATATATACATATAGCTATATAGTTTGAGTGAAATAGGAACAGATATATGCAGAGAGTGGAGAGCTAGAACAATTACATCTGAGTAGTGAGTTCGAGCCTCACTAGATGTTCCCTAATTTCAACCTTGTGTCACATCTTACGTACGCTTCGTAAATCGTTACATAGTGAGGAATGGCAAGGTCGTTCCTTCTTTTTTTTCTTCTACGAAATCTTAAAAGGATTAATTAGATACAAAGACAGTGAAATTTTGACTTAATTCGCGGTGGAATTCAATCCACAGTGATGTTTACAATTTCCATTTTGTACTAAATACAGAGCCGGAGAAATGTTCTCTCGATTGCGAAGTGTGACCAACTGCGTCGGTCATTTAACAAATTGCAACGGCTCATAATGTTCACTTCATTACATTGTAGACACATTCCGCCATTTTTTTTATTTTTGGTGTGTGCTTTTGCTTCTAGAATTGTTGATTTTTCATTGATTCGTTTCACTGATCACTCTTCTAGTCCGTGATAAATAATTAGAATTGCTGCTGAAGAGCGAGTATTGAGCTGTAAAGAGAAAGCAATATATTGTCCAAGTTTAGACTATTTTCGTCTTCTTAATATAAAGTAAGCCAACAGAAGCGAAAACAGAATATTAATATGTGTTGCTTGCTTTTAATATGACACAATAAAAACTGAAACAAATTATCCTGGGATATAGTGAATCGCTAGGGTTCTCTGTTAGAATTTCCATGGTAAAGCAATAGATCTACATAACAGTTCAGTGCTATTTTCTTTGTTTTAACGTGAATGCCAAAGAATCTCCTCACAGAGGAAGAAGAGACTTGAAGCAACAGAAATGTAATTCTACAGAAGGATGCTGAGAGTACCATGGACCGAATATATGAGCAACGTCGAAATTTTACATACATAAAACGGAAGCAAAAAGGGCACTTATACTTAACCCTAGAACACTAACCATGGGTATAGAGTACCCAGCGCAAATTTTCCTATCTTTAATTACAATTTTCAGTACCTGATTTTCTTATCTAAATAATATGTTTTTCAGTTCCTATTAATGTTAACAAAATACAAAGTTTGAAGTGCCTTCATGTAAAATATTTCAAGTAAAGATTTATATTTAATATTTTTTTGATATTTTCAAAATCGGGTATGATATACCCATGGTTTGTAGTGGTGTAACTTTAATTGATGGTTAGTGTTCTAGGGTTAACATAAGGAAGAGACAGCTGAAATTTCTATGTCACAAAATGAGGAAGTGAGGCTTGGAAAATCTGACACTCACAGGAAAGATTGAGGACAAGTGGGACAGAGGGAAATAGCGCATAGGGTACTTGATGAGATTAAGTAAATAGATGGCGGAACAAGTTTAGGAAAAAAGACAAAATTTATTAAGAGCTACAAAGGGCAGGAAATAGTGGAGAGTCATGATCGCATACGCCCTGAAGAGACACGGAACATAAAAGAATAAAACGATATGTCAATCTTTATTTTGGTTATTTAGTGTCGAATTTTGAATGGGGCACCAAGTGAGCCTTGAACTCACTACTGAATAGTAATTGTAAACTAGACGAGCCTCGTTAACCAGGGTTTAGGAGAAATAACAAAAAATAAAATTTATTAAAAACTTTAAAGGATAAGAAATTGTGGAGAGCCATGATTACCCACATCCTGAAGGGACACAGCACATAGAAGAATAGAATATTTTTCATGAACAAAATAGGAAATATCTACGAGATCAGATTGTTTAATTATTACTGGTTTAAAACTTTTTGGGGATTTGCCATTCTTGAATCTTTTTTTCCCCTGAATATTCAGATTTCTGGCCTTTTTGAAAGACTGATGTGGTAAATATCAGGAAACACTTCGACAAATTGCAGAAGCATTTGAATAATATCAGTTTGAAACAAAATAAATATCGGTAGGCATGTCTTTTTTTCTTATATCGTCCCCTTTTCTTTATACCTACATAATATATATGATTTTATTCTTTATATCATTTTAAAGCACACTCTTTCCTCTATATGGTGTTGTTTCAATTTTTGAATAATCATATTTTTGTGGGTTTCGACATTTCATTTGGATGTTTGCTTTCTCCTTAAGCCAGCGAGCTGGAGTTAAATGGATGGCGGAGGAAGGTTTAGGAGAGATAACAAAAAGAGAAAATATATTAAAAGCTATAAAGGATAGGAAATCGTGAAGACGTATTTTTCATAAACACAATAAGAAATATTTTGTCAGTCTACAAGATCATATAGTTTAATTATCATTGCTTTAAAACTTTTAGGGATTTACCATTCTCGAATCTTTGCTTATTTTACCCTGAATATTCAGATTTCTGAACTCTGAGAAAGACTGATATGGTAAATATCGAGAAACACTTCTGCAAATTGATTAAGTATTTGAATAATATTAGTTTGAAACAAAATAATTGTCGGTAGGCATGTTTTTTTTTCATATCGTCCTCTTTTCTTTAGACGTACATCATATATAGTTTGTTGCAATAACTTGGACCGATTTTAAATGTGAATTAAGTTTAAGCGTCTAATGATTTTTTTTTCTTTTTCTTTCAGATTTAACAACTTAAGTCTTTGGAAATTTCAACCATAGAAAGATTAACAAACAAACAACGTGTTAAAAGTTATCGAAGCCTATTACGAAAATGGACGTCCAAACAGAATGCCGTTCAACTGAAAACATTGCTGCAGTTCACGAGAATGTGGCCGAAAATCCAGACGCCTCTATTCGTCATCTCACGCGCGGGAATTGAACCTCTCAACAACGTTACATCGAATTTTGACAAATGATTTGTCTCTACAGGCTTACAAAATTCAATTGACACAAAAAGAACATAATATAGGGTGTTCCAATGACTTGGACTGATTTTAAATGTGAATTAATTTTAAGTGTCTAATGATTTTTTGCTTTTTCTTTCAGATTTAAGTCTTTGGCAATTTCAACCATGGAAAGATTAACAATTTGTACAGACCGTTTGTAGATAAGGTTTCATTGACGTATTTTTGTAAAGAGGGCTTTTCTCGAGAGTATTGCTGGTATGTTTTTTTTTTCTTTAAAAAAAATTATTGTTGGTATTTTTACTATAAAAATATATTTTTATACTTTCATAGTGTTTTAATCCCAGTTTGGATGTTAACTATTTGCCCATAGATGGGACCTTAGGAGGATAGACTAGACACAACGACAATTAAGAGGTGGTTCCACACTCCTCAAAACTTTCCAATCTTACTGCCGGATGTAGTTTATCGTCATACCCAGGATGGCAGCGTTTAGGTTTGAAGCAATGAAGCCAAAGACGACACGAAGTGTAACACTCTACTGATTGCCACACAAGGCAAGAGAAACCATCCTGATCTTCTATTTAACCCACATGTTTTCTAAGGTCGTTAGCACGAAGTAAGCGAAACAGAATTTGAACTCGGTTCTCCGATTTCACTTTCAGAGTCAATAACCGTTACGCTAAACACCCCACTTTGTGCCGCACTATACAAAGTTAAATCACAAGCAAATGGCAAGAATAGCGATGTATTTGACACAAGCACCAGAGCTCTGGGTTCAAGCCCAGTTAAAGAGCCAGTTTTCTGAACCTTGATTTTCTAGCCAAGTTCGGCTGTGGCAATCTTCGTAACATAATCCCCTTCTTTCATTTCTTCTCCAGTTTGAGTATATGTCGTTCTGAGCTAAGCCCGAGGAATGTCAATAAAAGCTAATAATATTATACAGTGAAAGAAAAAAAATGGATAAAAGGAAACGTCACGACACATCGTCGCCTATATAATGGGCAACTGAAATTCAGCATGCAATAACTATTATCTATGTGCAGACGGCTAAGAGGATGCTAACTTCCACAAATGCATATTAGATCATCGCGTCTTCCGAGCACTGGGAATGTCTGAAAACAAAAAAATAAAATAAATCTATTATATGACTGTATGTTTCAAAGCAGGAATTTTTCTCTGTAGCCATAGTTATAAAGATTATGACGAGACTTGATATTTTTTTTTATAAAGTCGGAAGAATATTTTTCTGTATGATTATCTTCAAAATTCTACATTAAGATGGTTTCGGCTAATCTTTATGACGGATCAACCCTTGCTGGACGATTTAATCCCAAAACAAGTTTTTATTTTACTAAAGTCATATTTATTGTACTTAATTCATGTTTATACTTAAGTCTAAAGATAAACGTTGATCCCGTTTTGTGTCTATAGTGATTTTCCAAGCGTAGCTCAGATGTGGCACAAGTCCGAAAATATGGGGCACCCAGTGAGGATCGAACTCACAACTCAGTTGTAATTGTTCTAGCGAGACAAGCTTGCTAACAATTTTTGTGTCTATAGGTAAACACGGATCGGGTTTATACTTATGTCTACAGTTAAGCATTGGTTGAGTCTATAATTCAGTCTATAGGTAAAAGTTGATAGCGTTTTGTGTCTATAGGTAAACATTGATCGGGTCTATACTTATGTCTATTGTTAAGTATTGGTTGAGTTTATATTTGAGTCTATCGGCAAATATTGGTCGTCATTACCCAAGTCCTCAAGCATCCAACCGATAGATGGCCTCTTTTGGGGGAATCTTACTTCTCTACAGGGAATGCAGGCGGCGTGTGCTAGACCTCACCGACAAGGCAGGCAAGAAATGAGGTATGCAGATTAAATTATTGTTCTTAGGTCAACTACTGGTACTGTGAGGTGGGCAAAAATACTCCCTGCACAGACCCGCCAATTGTAGATGCCCTGTATAGATTGATAATTAGTAGATATAAAATAATGAAAGAGAAATATAGATAGATAGATAGATAGATAGATAGATAGATAGATAGATAGATAGATAGATGGTCACTGGGAATTGGATGTCTCATATTTGTCGTCTGTGTCGTTCTTAACAACTGATAGATAGATAGATAGATAGATAGATAGATAGATAGATAGATAGATAGATAGATAGATAGATATGAACAAACATAGATAGATAGATAGATAGATAGATAGATAGATAGATAGATAGATAGATAGATAGATAGATGGTCACTGGGAATTGGATGTCTCATATTTGTCGTCTGTGTCGTTCTTAACAACTGATAGATAGATAGATAGATAGATATGAACAAACCTAGATAGATAGATAGATAGATAGATAGATAGATAGATAGATAGATAGATAGATGGTCACTGGGAATTGGATGTCTCATATTTGTCGTCTGTGTCGTTCTTAACAACTGATGATAGATAGATAGATAGATAGATAGATAGATAGATAGATAGATAGATAGATAGTCATTGGGGAGATGTCTCATATTTGTCGTCTTGTGACGTTCTTAACAACTGTAGATTGATAGATCTGATTGATTCCGGCCGTAAAGAACATCGCCGTACTGGAACAACCTCCTATTCACCTGATCTTGCTCCGTGTGACTTTTTCTTTCCCCCAAGCTCAAGGGGGGGGGCTATCAAGGGGGCTCGTTTTGAAGGTGCAGGGGAGTCAAGAGGGCCGTAACAACGGAGCTGGCATGCATCCAAGAAGAATTCTTCCAGCAGTGCATAGGATCAAGGCAGAGAATGATGGAAAAGTGCATTATACTATACGCTGATTACTTTGAAGGGGAAACCATGTAGTTTGTTGTTTGGAATTGAAATAAATTGTTTGTGACACCAGTCCTGTTACTTTTTAGGCAGTCTTTGTATATGTTGGTAATGGTAATATAAGCTCTTTCCTTATAAGTAAGCTTTCATCATTTATTGACCAAACAGCAAGTACTATTTTCAGTTTAAAAGAATTTTTCAGAAAAATAGGTTTCTCAAGTCTAGTAGCTGTTATCGCCCTTTCTGGTATTGATTGGGGCTTCTTTCCTAATCTTTTATTTAGAGTTGTGTTGAAGGTCAACATCTTGATTATGCCATTATTATATCTTTGAGTTATATGCAATATCCATTTTAGCTATGGCTACTGTAGTTATGTGGTTTCTGTTAGCAGGTGAAGTTCTTTGTAGAAACATAATGACCAAAATCTGCATTTTCTTCTTTTATAGTACCTGGACTGTGTTTGTATTTATGCTTATGCGACTTGTCTAAAGAGTAACGGGACTGAGAGTGCTGTGTGAACTGTGGGTGAAAGAGGGGAAAATGGATTTTGTTATCTAACATGATATCTTGGGAATTTATAACTATAATCTGAGCTTTCTGCAATCATTGCATTTTTTTTTTTTTTTTTTTTTGACATGCAAGAATAGTGGCAGGATAAATCATGCCTGATTCACCACGACAATGCACCTGCTCACAACTGCCCTGAGCATCCGGCAGTTTCTGGCAGAGAACTTCACCATACAGGAACAAACTCTCTATTCACTTGATCTTGCTTCCTTTGACGTTTTTCTTTTCCCCAAGCTCAAGGAGATCATCAAGGGGACCTGTTTTAAAGGTATGGATGCCATCCAGAGCTCAGGGGCATCCAGAAGGAATTCTTCCAGCAGTGCATAGAAGTGTGTCAGAGAATGATGGAAAAGTGCATTAAACTCAAGAAGGATTACTTTGAAGGGGAAACCATGTAGTTTGTTGTTAGGAATTGAAATAAATTGTTTGTGACACCAATCCCGTTACTTTTCAGACAGACCTCGCATAATGAGAAAGGAACACTTGGAAAATTTAATATCCACAGGACATATCAAAGACAAAAGGGACAGAGGAAAAAAGTATGGTACCTCATTGAGTCTGTGAGTGATGGTAGTTAAGATGTCGTCAGTGGATTTGGCAGACCGAATCCCGTACTGCTCGTGGGTGATTTAGTTTTGATTGTTCTGTCTGTGTGTATTGTAAAGCCCCATAAAATTGTTACAGCTCCTATGTCTGTAAATGAAGCTGGGTGGTCTTCATACCGGTTTCTTGCTGTTTCCTCCCCCTAAAAATTGCAGATTTTCCAATGTACATATAGGCCCCCTCTGTCATGCAGACTGGATCTAACCAACGTCTTTATACACTACGCCATGTGTCCTCAATGCCATAGCCCAGTGGATAAAGACCTTGGTTAGTGTCGTAATGGAATGTCCCACTCTCCCTATTACCTATTGTGGGCTGACTATATCAGTAATATGTGTAGTGTGCACGGGACATACCAGGGTCTGTCTGTCTGGCTTCGAGAAGTGTTAGTCGACTCCCTGTCTTTCAGTAGTGTATTCTCTTTTAAAATAAACCTCTCTTTCTTCCATCTACGCACGTGTTGCTGTTCCTTCCACTCGAGTACCAGCTTTTTAAGGATACAACAGTTAGTGACTAGACCCCAAAAGTTGTGAGTTCAATACCAGGCCAGAGCAGTGGTGAACCAAAACTTGGAGAGTTTAGTTAAAGGGAAATAACTAAGCCGCCTGGAAGAGGTATGGCACGCGGAACTAGAACAATTTACCCCGCCTCCCTTTAGACGAAATGAAGGGTTCAGTTCAATATTTCAATCACCTGAAGAAGGCCGGAGAGTAAAACGACCGAAACGTCGTAAATATGACAATAAATATGACGATAACAGTCTGAACAATGTAAATAATGCAAATAACAACGGTAATGATTTTGGCTTTCTTTAACTTTCAAAGCCTTGATCGTTCAAGCTTCTATGGTTAAGTTTCTCGTTTTACTGTTGATCTATCTTTCTATCAAAAGGACAAGATGAATCAATGCTTCAGCCTCGTTTTCCTATTCTGCCTTTATATTATTAGTATTACGTCTTCGGTGATACACTACTGATAGACTACTGTCACGACTGCAATAGACGGATCTTGACGTCTATTAAAAGTCTGATTTTTTTCCCAAACTACCCACTCTTATTCAAGGCTCCCCTTTATTTCAGCCCATGATGCGAGCTATGAATTGGAGATGTCAATATCAAGCCAGTACAGACATTGAGCTATTTAATTATTTTATCCGATGGCGGAAAATTTGACACAGAAATCTGCATTAGAACTGTAAAAGTGCCTTCCAAATATTAAACAAAGTATTAAGAATCGGGAAAATATCATTAGCAAAAAAAAAAAAAAAAGAGTTCTGAACTGTTACGTAATAACAGTCCTCGTATATAGCAATGAACTCTGGACAATTTCCTCGAACATTCTAGGAGTGTGCATAACTGAATTTGTTGGTTGTTGGTTGCAGGATTTAGTGATGATATCCTCTAGATATCCAGTTGGGTTTAGAAGTCCTACCAGGATTCATGATTGGCAAGCACAAGCTTAACAGCATTAGATATATGATGATAGCAGGCACAGAAAGTAATCTATAGGAACTCCTACAGAAGTTAGTAAAGGAGATCGAAAAAAAAATTGTAAGGAAAAGACCAAGATGCGAATTATAAACTCGAGATACTGAAGTCCATTAAGATACAAAAATTTAAATATCTGGGAAGTATTTTAACAGACGATGGAAAATCCGACAACAATATTCGTAGGCGGTTTCGGATAGCAAAAGATGCCTTCCAAAAGCTAAGGGAAGTATTAAGAAACAGGAAAATATCTTTAGCAAAAAAAGAAGTCCTCCTATGTAACAGTAAATTCTGGATAATTTCCTCACAGTAGAAGAAGAGACTGGATGCAACAGAGACATGATACTACAGAAGGATGTTGAGAATACCATAGACGGAGCATGTAAGCAAGGATAATGGTAACAAAAATAACACTAATACTTAGAATCAAAAAGAGAGAGTTGATATATCAGAGGCGCATAATGAGGAAAGACGGTTTGGAAAATTTGACACTCACAGGATATATCGAAGACAAGGGGGGAAATATCAAGTAACCTATCAGAATTGGGAATGGATTTGATAGTAAAACGACAAATACTGCGAGAAGTTACAAAGGATAGGAAGTTGTGGAGGACCGAGACGCTCACAGCATGAAGGGATACGGCGCATTATAGATTATTTGTATTTATTTAGCTAGTTGCCAAACACAAAGCTGGGTTTCAAGATCCAAGAATACTTTGAAAACCACACTCGTCTGTTCCAGATTATCTCATTCATAAGATAAATGTTTATCGTCGAAATTGGGACCAGTTAGCCTGATTTCAAGCCACGGCGAGCAATTATAAAAACACTTTGGTTCTGTTGGCGACTGTCAGTCTGTTTAGAAATTGCATTTTACAATCATTTAGAGTTTTAGACTATTACGCCTCGCTCCCAGAAAGAATTTAAGGTGAAATCATAAAAGAGGAGGCCATCTTCTTTTCTTTTCTGTTCACAATACGTGCTAAATATTTCGTCCCATTATACAGAGCGGTAGAAGAAAGCCCAATGTGGCTACAAGTGATGAACGCATGATTCAGTCTTTAACTCATTGGAAAGGGTGTTCCAATAACGTGGGATTCAATGGGAATTAAGTTTAAGCGTCTAATGATTTTTTTTCTTTCAGATTTGGCGGACATTTGGGTGACATTATTTTTCGCACATATTTGCCATAACTTAAATAGCATGATCCAATAGAGAAATAAATAAATTTTCACCAATAACACTGATTTATTTGCTACGGAGTTTCATCCATCTTAATGAAAAACCCTTATATATAATCTCTCTTAATGAAACACCTTTGTATATTATGCATCTTAATGAAACATCCTTTATTTTAAGCTGTTGTCGGCGCGCAAAGAGAAGTCAGCGAATAGAGTTCAAATCCCCACATATTCCGCTGCATTCACTTCCACAGAAACGTTAATGATATTGATAACCATCATCTGCTATTATGCTACCAAGATAAGTTCAATTTCGATACCCGCTTGCCATTCGCATTAGCATCTCACACTGTCTCTATTGCTGACAGCCATATATTATGCCTTCTTACAGTTATTAGTTGACTGTTTATTATTGTTTTTTGTTTGTTTGTTTTTTTCGTTTTTTGTTGTTGTTTTTTGGGGTTTTTTTTTTTTAGTGAGTAATCGGTATCACCCTACGCAAGACATTAAAGACACAAGGGTTGACAGAATGTGCAAGAATTAGAAACAGAAACATTAATAATGAGCGGGAAGAGGAAAGAGTAATTCGGAGGACAGTACATAGCGATTGACATTGCATTTAAAGTTTTGCAGATTAAAGTTGACTGGAAGGCATGGAGCTGGATGACAGTTCTACAAGCGAGAAGTGCGAGAAAAGAAACTGTTAGCATAGAACTTTCGGCTACATCTAGCCAGCTCTACTGTAAATTGATGAGATCTCGACGCCAGTCTAGTACAGCGCTTAAGATTCATTAAGACTAGGTACCAGAGCGAAGTATTTATAGAAAGGCACAGAGAGGCAACCTGACGACGGCGGGAAAGTGACTGAAGCTTAGTC